TATATATATATATATACTTCTAAATAGCCAGAAACATGGAACTTTCAAAAAAATTTTTAAATCGATTTTGGATAAATAAAAAAAATTTAGTTGCTGAGAATAATTGAAAAAACATTTGGTGAATTTGAGAACAGTCAGCATTCCAATTCCAAAATTATAAAAATTATACACGGGCGTTTATAATTTTACAAGTGAGAAGAAGCATTTTAAGTGAGAAAAGCATCTTATAACTTCAACAGCTTCAGTTATTTGTTCAGCGTGCATAAATATCTTTTCAACGATATGTTAGAGGAAAATGGATCCGTCAGAGTCTCAGCAGGATCTACTATCTAACGAAATGAGACCGCCATCGGTGCAATCATTACAGACACATAATATTGACTATATTCTTGGCCCAGTTGAGAAACATTTCCTGCTTAGCGCAGAACGAGGTGATTGTGCCACTATCAAAAGGTAATCCTGAATTTTTCTGTATTAATATCTCTTTAAGGATATTCTGGATACGCAAAATGATCTAAGTTTTTGAAATAAACTCTTTTTGTTACCGCGATGTAAACCAAACATATAATTAGGTGAAATATGTAATTATGTGAAACATTATGTAGAGAGAGAAAGAGAGAGAGAGAGAAAGAGAGAGAGAGAGAGAGAGAGAGAGAGAGAGAGAGAGAGATACATCTCTTGGAAAAAACAGTGTGGTCTGTATACAGAAATCTTATGATATCAACCAGATTAAATAATAAAATACGGAGCAACTATTATTGGCTTGAAATATAGCCGGTCAGAAAGATTGCTATATTTTTTTCTCGATAGATTTCGAAACTCAACTTTGCTTGTAGAATGATTGAACGTAAATGATTAAATCTATAAGTAAAAACCAATCGATGAACAAGCATTCCAAAACCAAAGAAAAGTGTTGTAATCTTCCTATGATCGGCTGTACAATAATTGAACTGTAAATGATTGACTTGTTGTGGATCAATGACAGTATGTTGCAATAATCAGTCTGTTTCTTAAACATTCAACCACGAATATTTTAATGGCAACTGCATCATTTGGTTTAAATAAATTATGTATTGATGCGATGAAAAGACTTAAGATTAATATCTCACGGTCCAGACTTTTTTTACCAGATTCGTTCATTTCGTTCAAAAACGCGTCGAATAAGCCTAATTTCATCAAAATCGATGAAGAAAGTAGAATTCTTGAATATTACTAACTTTTTTATTATATACATATCTTCAAATAATGCAATAAAAACGCGACAGTTTTATGCATTTCTTGCAATGCTCATCCGTAGCGTACGGAACGACGATATGACGTTATAACTTTTCACGATATAACTTTTCACGTTAGACATCTATGTATGCACGGGAATACAAATAACTTAACACTCGAAGTTGCATGCGTATCAGAGAAGGAATGAGAAAGCATGTTAAGACATTTGTATTCCCGTGTGTACAACCATTGTGGAAGTAATATTACTTTCAAGTAGTAATATTACTTCATGTGTACAATGCGCTTGCATTTGCGATTTGAGAAAACAAATACGATTCGAACTATG